TTGATATCCATGCTGATATCTTTAAAATTTATATCATCACTTAGTCCTCTGACACATATAAGTGGACATATAATATCCTCAGTGAGTCCTCTTACAGATATAATATGTTAACTAAATAGACTAAAATATATATTGGCTTAATTGAGGCCTCTGACACTCATATAATATCACCACTGAGATTCTGACAAATGTAATATCATCAATGATGAGTCTAATACATATAATATGCTCACTGAGTTATCTTACACTTATGTAATATTCTTTAATTTTTTATTTTTTAGTTGTAGCAGGACACAGAGGTACTGTACCTTTATTTTTTGTGTATTTTTATGTGGTGCTAAGTATTAAACCCAGGGCTTTACATGTGCTAGGCAAGTGCTCTACTGCTGAACCAAAACCCCAGCCCCAAATGTAATATTATTAATGAGGTGGATGAGACATATATATCCACACAAAATACTTTGACATTCATGTAATAGTCTCATTTAGGCCTCTGAAATATATAATAACTTCACCAAGTTCTCTTTTCTTAATTTTTTCTATTATTGGTTGTTCAAAACATTACAAAGCTTTTACCTCATATACAGATTGCAGAATCATATCAGTTACACATCCATGTCACCAAGTTCTCTTGACACTCATAATATTCCCACTGAAATCTCTGATACTCATATAATATCATCAGTTAAGACTATAACACATATTTTTTTATTAGGTTCTCATGGCAATACAATGATCTTGACATATCATATATTATCCTCATTGAGTTTTCTGGATCTTCATATAACAATCTCACTGAGGCCTCTGGCAACAATAATACCTTAATTGAGTCCTCTGAGTGATATAATATACTCATTGAGTGATCTAATACATAATGACCTATTGAAGACTTTGACACTCAATAATATTCTCAATAACTTGAATATACTGGCATAGACTTGTAATCCCAATGAATCGGGAGCATGAGTCAGGAAGATTGCAAGTTTGAATCCAGCCTCAAAAATTTGATGAAGCTCTATCTCAAAATAAATATATAAAAAGAGCTGAGGATGTATCTCAGTGGTAAAGTACTCCTTGGTTCAATCCCCAGAACACACACACACACACAGACACACACACACATATACACATATATATAATATATTTGCATAAACATATATTTGCATACATTACATAAATATATAATTTATATAAAGGTGTATATATATTCTCACTGCAGCTTATGCCATATGTAATATACTCACTCAGACCTCTGACACTCATATAATATTCTCAATGAGTACTCTAACAAATATCCTCAATTAACCTTTAATAATTATCATATTCTACAGTTGGGCCTCTGATACTCAATAATAATCTCACTGTGGTCTCTGACAAATATAGTATTCTCACAGTGGCTTTAGATACTCAGATATTGTCCCAAGTTAGGTATTTGACACACATAATATTCACACTGAAGCCTCCATAACATATAATATTCTCACTGAAATCTCTAGCACATATAGTGTTATTACTGAGACCTGTGATACTAATATAGTATCTTCAACAAGACCTGCTACACTAATATAATATTTTATTCAGGACTCTACCACTAATATAATATCTAAACTGAAACCTCTGACCTATATAATATCCTCACTAAGGCCTGTAATGCAGATAATATCTTCATTGGATCCTCTGCCACTCATGACACATACAATGTCCTCACAGAGGCATCTAGTCCTAATATAATAGTTGATCTTTTTTTTTTGTACTAGATATTGAATCCAGGGGCAATTAACCATTAAGCTACATGCCAGCCCTTTTTATTTATTTATTTATTTATTTTTGAGACAGGATGTCTCTAAGTTGCTTAAGGCCTCACTTTGTTGCTGAGGCTGGTGTTGAACTTGCCATCCTCCTGCCTCAGCCTTATGAGCTTTTGGGATTACAGCATACATGACCTTTTGTCATTGATATTATTACAGTATACACATTTTGCTCTTTAATACTAATGTGATATTCACAATGTTTCCCAAAGTATGCTTACAGTGTAAATAGATGACCTCTAATAGTAATACATTTACTTACCATGGACCCCTACTGCCTTCACAGTGATATCCAGACTGTGGTCTTTAATGCTAATCTAGTATGAAAACATTGGTTTTATATTACTATAATAGTCACTAAGTGACCATCTTATACTAATATAACATCCAAAATTTAGCCTCTAATATTAATGTAACACACACACACACACACACACACACACACAGTGGCTTGTAATGAAAAATTTTCTTGCAATGGTATTTCTGAGATTTGGCTGAGCTGGATTTATAAGGGCCAACTTCCCTAATAAAGTCTGATGTCTGTTTTTCTGGCATAGTATTGACATGGTAGTTTTTAATAAGCAGTTGATTTTCTCATAGTGCTAAACTTACAGGAACCCTGCATTGGTGGTGCAAAATGCTCTGTATCTTTTCACTCACATTCCCCAGTAGTCATTGCTATGCCAGGTTTGTATCTCCATGTAAAACACTGAAATGTATTTTACTCAATGTAGGAATGGATACTCTCAGGTGACCATCACTTAGCTTCCAAATCAGGACATCAGCAAGCTTCTCCATGGCAATCAATCCTCACTTTCACTACCTGCCCAACTGGGGAAAAAAAGCATTTCTTTTTTACTCATACATAAAATTCTTTTCCTAAAACTCCATTTTAGCCTGTCCCTCATTCTCATGACTTTAACAGATAGAAAGTATACACATGTACTTTTCTTTTAATACCTCTTGTCAGTTCTTTGGGGTTAAATACATAGAAATGGAGTTGTTGAGTAGTATGATAATTCTATTTTTACTTTTTGTGTGAATAGCAAACTATTCCACACACAAACTTTGATAGAAACAGAGAAGGAAAAGCTGAGTTTCTTTTTTTCTTGCTGATACTCATAGCACCAGAACAAAAGAGAGAAACGAGAAAAGGAATGAAGACTGACTTCTATCTGCATAGGTTAATCTCTAAGTGTCCCAAGAGGCTCTGGATCTGGCAAAACCCCACATGTTCAGAGTCCTGTGCCATGTTCTGGTGGCACTTTTATGCTCTGTGAAAATTTAAGCCAAGTATACAAGTATAAAAACCCTTGCCACAAGAGCATTGGGTTTCCCCATTTGTCCAGTTGGGGACTTAGTAACTCAAGTGGACCAGCAGAGTTGGCCTCCATCTCCTCTTTTCCTGGGATATAAGTAAGGCTGAATGATGCCAACAGTCTCCAGACACCTCCTTTGCCTGATCTGCAAAGGAAAACTTCTGTTCTGTTCTGCAAAGATGACTGGCCAGGTTGGACTGTGGCCATTCTGGGCAGAGAAGAAGCTATGTTTGGAATCTGGGATGAGACAGGACACAACTGGAGGGTCTGATGAAGGCCACTTCTGGCTCCCAGGAGGCTGAAAAATGAGTTTGAAATTACCAGATGCTCTTGGTTTAGAAACCAGCCTCTATTGTTTGGGGAGTGTGCAGCCTGACCTCAAACCCTTCCAGGCCAGAATTCTTGTGGTTAGAGCTCATAGGGATCTAGGCCAAAACTGAGGATCAGGTAAAGCCGAGTGAACACCCCCTCACCCTGCTTCATCACTCATCCACCACTTCTAGGACATCATCACCTGCAACACCTGCCCCTGAGAACACTGTCCTGGTCAGGGACTGAGATTCTTCCTTCCTTGTCTTGGAGATAGTGAAGGTGTTAGGAGAGCTGGGTATGAGGCTGGGGGTTTTGCACAGGACTCTAGCTCTGCCACTTACAAGCATATGGCACAGGGCAACCACCTCAATACATAGAGCCTTTTTAAATACAATTAATGGTATAAAAATGTCCCAGTACAATGCTGGTGTGACACTTGTGTGCAGTATTCACAATGACTGTAAAAAAGTGGCTTTATTGTCATAGATCAAGATCATATTAAAGGGAAGCAGGACTTGCATCTCTCCAACCTAGTCCAGAAGAATATACTCCAAAAAATGAGCAAAATGACCAACCAGCTCTGGATAGAAGAATAAAGCCAGGCTTCAAATATCATAAACACTGAAGCCATCCCCTTCTCAAGGTCAATCACACTGAAGCCCAGTCCCTCCACAAGGTGAAGATCAGAAACAAAAATTATATGGTGAGCATTAGGGTTTGGGCAGAAATTATGGTTGGGGTTGGGCCTGAACAAATTTGTGGTCTGGGTTGGGTAGCAAATTTGTGGTCTGGGTTGTGGTCAGGTGTTGGGTACAGGATAGGTGGGGATGATTTACAGAATAGATGATAAACCAGAAGTACATAGTTTGTGGACTTAGATGCAGGATTTCTTGGGTGATGTAAGAGCTAAGAAATAGGGAATAGAGTTAGTGTTTTAGAGTTACAGGTAGGCAATAGAGGTCAGGATCAGGGTCAAACCAGACTTCTTAGAATTTAGCATTTCTGAGATGGCATCCTCCATACTGTGTTTTCCTTGACCACCACATTTTATGACCTACTCTGTGGTCCTACACCACTTCTCTCACAGCTTCATGTGTAGCCCTGTATCACATCCCATAAGGCTTCTAGTGTGCCCTCCACTGTCTGCTTTTGCTGACCCTGTGTAGCTCTGAACCTTCTCCTCTTATCTCCTACTGTGTAACACTCCACCAGAACATTTCATTTCTGTGTAACCTTCCACCACCTCCTCTCACAAATTTCTGTGTAGCCCTCCATCTTTTCCTCTCATCTCAGCATTTAGCCCTCCACCACTTCCTTTTATCTGCTCCTATGTACTCTCTTGTCACCTCCTCTCAAGAACTCATGTGTAGCCCTTGACCATGTTCTCTCACAGCTTCTTTGTAGCACTCCACCATTTCTTCTCATCCCATCCTCTTCAGCCCTCCACCAATACCTTTCAACTCCGGTGTTTTTCTTCACCAACTGCTCTTATCTCCTGTATGTTTCTCTACCATCTCTTTTCTTAGCCCCTTATGTAACCCTTGACAATAATTTCTTACAGGTTACTGTGTAGCCCTTCACCACTTCCTCTCATGACAAAACTGTCCTTCCCAAAGATGCTCAGCCAGCTTCAACTCAACTGTGTTCCTGAGACTCTGACCTATTCTAGAAGTTGTTTAAGATTCTCCATGTCTTCTAATGACTTCTCCATGTAATTGGCTTTTTAGGTATTTCCTTTACATATAATTCTTTAAATTCTAAAACCCAGATTCTTCATCAACCTTTGATTTTCTTCATTTGTGTTCTATTGTATTCAAAAGGTCAACTGCTTATTTCTTCAGGGTTGATTCTTAGTACTTTCCTCAGATAATGTAAAGACTACTTTTGTAAGTCTATATGGCTTTTGTTCAAGAATTCAAAAATTTCACTTATTTACTGCATTATTGTAATGCCTTTGCCAACTTAGTGTTCACCTGGTCCCCCCCCCCCCGTCTCTTGGC